CACATGCACACGTATGTTTATTGCAGCACTATTCACAATAGCAAAGACTTGGAATCAACCCAAATGTCCATCAGTGATAGACTGGATTAAGAAAATGTGGCACATAGACACCATGGAATACTATGCAGCCATAAAAAAGGATGAGTTCGTGTCCTTTGTAGGGACATGGATGCAACAAACTGTCGCAAGAACAGAATACCAAGTACCGCATGTTCTCACTCATAGGTGGGAATTGAACAATGAGATCACTTGGACACAGAAAGGGGAGCATCACACACCAGGTCCTATTGTGGGGAGGGTGTAGGGGGAGGGATAGCATTAGGAGATATACCTAATGTAAATGATGAGTTAATGGGTGCAGCACACCAACATGGCACATGTATATATATGTAACAAACCTGCACGTTGTGTACATGTACCCTAGAACTTAAAGTATAAGAATAATAATAAAAAAAAGAAAATACACAAATGGCTAGTAAGCTCATGAAAAAAATGCTTAGCATCACTATTAATGAAGGAAATGCAAATCAAAAGAACAATGAGCTATTACATCATACCCATTAGGATGACTACCATAAGCAAAAACAAAACAAAACAAAACAAAAAACAGAAAATAATTTTTGGCCAGAATGTACAGAAATAAGAACATTTGGGCACTGTTGGTAGAAATATAAAATGGTAAAGTTACGTTAAAAACACAGTATGGCAGCTTCTCAAAACATTCAAAATAGAATTACTATATGATCCAGCACTTCTACTTCTGGGTATATGTTGAAAAGAATTCACAGCCAGGTGTTGAAGAGATGTCTGTGTACCCATGTTTACAGCAGCATTGTTCACAATAGCTAACATGTGGAAGGAACCCAAGTGTCCATTGGTAAATGAATAGATAAATAAAATATGATATATACATGCAATGAATATTATTCAGCCTTTTTAAAAGGGAGGACATTTTATAATATGCCATAATATGGATGACCCTTGAGGATGTCATGCTAAGTGAAATAAACCAATCACAAAAAGACAAATACTATATGATTCTACTTATATGAGGATCCTAAAGAAGTCAAAATCATAGAGACAGAAAGAATGGTGGCTGCCAGGGACTGGGAGGAGGGGGAATGAACTGTTTAATGTGTATAGAGTTTCAGTTTTACATCATGAAAAGAATCATGGAGGTAGACAGTGGTGACGGTTGCACATTTTGAATGTATTTAACAACACTGAACTGTATTCTTAAAATGGTTATGATGAGAAATTTTATGTTATGTGTATTTTACCACAATAAAAAAAAATGAAAAAAAAGAGAGCATAATGGCTATCCTATCTCGCTGTGGCTATGAGTCTCAAAGCAGTGCCAATGAAAGTGCTTAGGAAGGTATAAAGTGACTTTTGAGCATGGCATCAATGATTCCATTATATATATATGTAACATTACTATCTCTTCATTTGAAAGCTAAGAAGACAGCTTTTTAGTGCAAAATCCAATGATATTTCTACCATGTAAAAGAGTACTATCAATTTTAACTTTTAATAAAACTGACATTAGAAATATAAAGAAGAAACTCAATCTCTTTGATGTTCAGATTCATTTCAATGTGAAAAGTGTACAAAAGAAAAATCCGATCAAATACATAAAAGAAGTGTACCTTGGCCCAAGATGATTGTGCCCTTGAGTTCAAGCTGCTAAGTGCTAACTAACAATGCCAATGCCAGCAGGTGATATGGATGCTCAATATGGAAGACAATGGGTGGCATTCCCTGGACATCAGAGCCATATGTAGGTAGCTGTTCTGAAAATTTGGCATGTTGTCTTTTTAATTGATGGGAACTGGCTGATTGGCATTCTCATGAATTAAACTAATAATTACAACCCCATTAATATGATAGGGTTATTGTTTTTCTCCCTGAGGGTAAGGATACTTCAGAACAGGGCCAGATAGTAATATTTAGGTTTTATGAACCACATGATTACATACGGTTCACAACTCTGCCACTGTATTGCAAAAACAACCATAGACAATAAGTAAACAAATGGGTTGGGCTGAGTTCCAACTTAGTAATATTAACAAAATAGCCATGGACCAGATTTGATTCAAGAGCCATAGTTTGCTGACTCCTGGCTTTAGAATACCATAAAGATAAACTCTGGACCTCCTCACATCCCCTGGCTGTATACATCATATAATTGGCCTCTACGAGGTTTTAATGCAGCTACAATCCTATGGTTAAACAAACTTAGAAGGTGCCAAAGCCTGGAGAAACCATCAAGCCAGGTGGCCATTTGGGCAGACAATTCACAATCTAACATGATTATCTAAGGCCTTACATTTTTCTCAAAGCATTGTTTGTCAAATAAAGCAATGTTTAAAATGTAATATTGAAGCTTTGAAAATAAACTGCTGTTCTCCAGAGTAAAGTTACTGATGTTTTGATGGGAAAGAAGGAAAAGTGCTTTCCAATTCCCAGAAATGTTTTGAAAAAATGCAACCCAATGCTGGCTTCCCATTTATGAGTGCTCAAGTTTACCTTTTGCTTTCTCATAATAAAAGTCAACTCATTGCCAAAGTTTATTACTGTTCTAAGTCAAAAATAACCTACCACTCCAACTTCTCACCTTCCTTATGACTCTCTCTCTCTTACCCTAACATGTCTAGAAATGTAAGGAAGTACTGTCAGAGGCCTTCAGTAGGGCAAATTTAATGTTGTATCTCCATTTGTCCGTATTTGAATTGATGACTCATTCTCAGCTTGGGAGCTGCCCCTTTAACCATATGGACCAGTATAGAATGGCACTGAAGGCGAAACAAACCTTTTACTGCTCTCAGGAATGTGAATTTTGAGACACTTGGTTGGGTTTAGGTGGAATCTCACAGACATCAGTTCAAGAATACTTTTGTTCTTGGCCAAGTTTCATAACCTTTTTGAGATCCTGAACCTCAGTTTCTTCATCTACAAAATGTGTTAATATTTGCTTCACAGGATTAATTAAAAAATAGTGAGTGGCAAATGGCAAATGCTAATAAATGTTCATTTCTCTCACTTTCTCTGTATGCCCCTACGTACCCTAAATTGTATTTGTTCATGCTGACAGCAGGTTTTATTGTAAACTCTCGTGTATCCCCCAATAACTACCTCTGAGCACATTGTAAGTGTACAGCTACATAGGAATCATGTAAGGATCTCTGCAAAAGGTCTTTGAACAGGGAAAGACTGAAGGTAGGAAAATTAATTGACTAAAGATAAACCATAATCCCCAGAGGTTTTCAAAGGTCAGAAAATTCATTTGGTTTATTTTCTTTTGGAAAGGAGCCTTGAGGTATGGTTTAAGCAATTAGAACACAAATGTCTTGAGAACAGAGACCTTGTCAGTTTCATCAATTGGTGCTCAGAACTCATCTCAGGCACCTGGTGAGTGCTCAATTAATATCTGTTTTCTCAACTGACAACTGAGCATTCTTAGGTCTGATTTGCTTTTGTATTAACCATGAAGAGTTTCTGGAGTTTTGCATAAGGAAGGAGCAAGGTTTTTATAGAGAAGGAACATTGAATAAGAGTGGCACCATTTATAAACTATTTACCCTGAGCATGCAATTTATGAAATTATAATTCAAATTCCCCAGTATGAAAAGTTGATCTGAAATGGGTCAGAGGAAAGTCTAATGTCCACTTTAGGCCAATTTCCGACGAGATATGGTACCTTGAAGCCATACCAACAAGATTCCCTCTAACTTCATTTCCCACGTGGAAAGAGAAATCCTGCTGTTGCTCAGCACTTAGGGAGAATCAGCATAGTGTTAGGTACAGTGGGGTAAAGAGAAGTTGTTTCCCCAAAAGGGTTTAAATTTCCTCATGGTTTTTCATGTTCTGTAAAAGTGTGAGAGAACCAGCAGCAATAACACATAACGTAGTTCACATACCTGAAAACATCATCATGTGCTGAAAGTTCCAGGGGATCTTCTGTTTTCGGCCTAGATTCAGGAGGAAGGAGAGGGGATATATGTTGCAGGCTCTGGCAACAAAAATTGCTAGCTGTAGATAAGCACAGGGAACCATTGAGGAAAATGTTGCTGCAATGATGGTTTGAATCCTTGAGCTTAAATATTATGTCCTTAAGCTTCTCTACATTATGACCCCAAAACCAGAAATAAACATGTCAATTCACATTTGTCCAACCTGCTTTCAAAATTTATATTTCAATGTCGTTATTCCCAGAAATAATAGAGAATTCTGTCTTTCTTTGATACTGGCTTTAAAATTGTTAGCCCAATACCATTTCAATCACTGTAAATTTTCTAATCACATTTATATTGCTGGTGACTGACTATCCTCAATTCTGCTGTAAAATGTGAGGCAGAGACCATTCAAATGCTGTAGTATTATCTTCCCAAATGGCACTTTGGAAAGGATAAATGTGCTTCTGTTCATGTTTACCATCTTCCTTCTTATCAGTTTATATTTCCTACATCTAGCAAGCTTTGCATATCTTTTTCTTTTGGTGAATTAATTTTGAGAGGAATTACCTGTCTAATTACATAACACAACTCTTGCTTTATGTGGCTATTTGCTAAAATCAAAGTTTTATAAGTAAAAGTCTTTGAAAATATTGGTGCTCTTCACCTTTCCCTTTTTGTTGTCTTTGACTCCTTCCCCGATGGGCTATTCTAGTTTGTCCTCAATGGGATGGAGTTATTTGGGAAGGTAACTTCCTTTTAAAATCCAGGTTTTAGATGAAATTTTAGGGTTCAGCTGAATGCTCAATGAAAAGAGACTAAGAAGCGAATGCAGATGTGTAATTGGAACACAGTTTACAGAGAGGAATTGCTTCTCCTGGCTGTTAGGATTATCTGTGATCCAAGGTGGCCTCGGCCCATCTTCCAAGTGGGAAGAAGGACAACAGTTGCTAACTGTCTTTGGGGACATTCCTAATGGCTCAACATCCTTTTGGATAGATATCCATTCCCACTGGAAATACCTCCTGTCCCAGGCCTAGAGCTAGGAAAAACCCCTGCATTAAAAGTGAGGTCTAGATTTTATCTGTCTTCATAGGAAAGGAAGGGTGCTATCTTATTCAAATGAACCTACATTTGAACAATGCTTATAATGTTGAAAGCACATGCATCACGCTCATTTCATTTGATCATCTGTCCTATTTTTGAAGTCCTCATTGGAAAAGAGATTTCATCATCTTGCAATGAAAACATTTCTAAAGCTGAATAATCCTGGATGCTTCCTGATATACTCTAATGCAAATTAAGTCTGTTTCTCTATAAAGAATACACTGACATAATTTTTATGTAAGTGATTCATAATTATAGTTAAACATATTTTGACTTGAAAAATATCTTTTCCTTTAATTTCCCCCTTTATTTCCATAGTTCTTTCCAAAGTTCTTATCCTGAACCATAATTATTTAATGGAGGTCCAAATTTCTTAGGATGCTTTTCTCCCCTAACTAGAAATCACATATCTGCCTTGTGTCTGAACCTTGCAGTAGAATTTAGGAAACTGCTTTAACAATTTAACAGAATAATCAGTAAAAGTAAGTCATTTGTTATTTTCTCTAATCACCCCATGTTCTGTATTTCAAAGGATACAAAGGCTCCAAGTATAAAAAAAGCATTAAAGATATGATTCTGGAACGTGAACAGTGCCAGGCCCATGTAACAGAAGATGACGTTCTCTGCCAAAAAGTTCATAAATTCAAACAACTGAAACAAAACATAAACAAAAAACCATTAATTATAACTCAGGTTCGAGTACACTTACTTTCCTGTAACTGTATTTGACAACTGGCTGGGTCTCCTTTATCTGGAAGTCCACCCCTTTGGCCTTGTGCTTAGCCCCTGAAGGAGGATGGAGGCCCTGGCTCATGACCCAGCAGCAGATGCCACAGCCACATCAGCATCCCATTCTTTCCAACTGTAAGGCTGCCAGAGATACCCCCAGATAATATTAACCAGCGATCCTTCCATGGAACAATTCCTACTAAGATGACAAAATAGTCCCTGTTAAAGAAACTGAAGCTAAGTGATTTGCTGAAGGTGTACTGTAGTAAATGACACAAAGATTGTTTACTCTCTGTGAACATTACCCAGTAGATCCACTTGACTTCCCAGGCACTGGACAACTTTTTTTTTTAAGCTTAAACTAAATTACCCTTCTCAGGCAGGCAGGAGGGACAAAGTTGGAAAACTTGGAAACCTGAAATAAGGATGAATGTCAATTATATTTTAACATTAGAGTGATCAGTATATTTCAAACTCTAGACAATGCGACTCATTAAATTGACTGATGTAGGTATATCCATTAAATGTCTACAATTTCTAGCCGCTAAAAAGAAAATGATTAATCCCAGGGATCGGTTTTTGCAGCAGGAACACAATAGATACATCAAATTCAGTCAGAAGAATAGAGTAATAACATGCTATGATGAGGGATGTTCCCAAGAGTTATTCTTAGACCATTAACTAAACAATTTAAGTTGAACATGAAAAACATTCTCCAACGTTCAGATTAAAAGTAAAATGGAAATGTGTCCACAGGCTACAACAAAGGCTGATTTGGAAAAGACTTTATTTTATGTTCCAGACTTCTCATTTGGAAATTTCTGAGACTTCATTCCTGGACCTACATAAATCACATGTTAGGTAAATATCTCTGGAGGCATTTCTCTTGACTTTTTAAGGACTCATTATTTTTTCATGTAATATATTTACAGCCCCACAAATAATGCCCAATACTGTTCACTGACAGTTGACAGAAAGAAAAGTAGAATCTTGTCAGAAACATTATTTAAAACCAGTAATAGAAAAAAGGATTAAAAAAAAAACAGTCCCTTTGGTACAAGACAGTTTTTTCTGCAGGGGCAGCTATCATCAATTATCCTGAGTGCTTGCTTTACATTCCAGGCTGGCTCACGGAAACAAACACTGTCACCAAAATAACCACAGAAAATTTGAAAACATCAGGAAAAATGTAGGAGATAGGGAATATTTCTCTGCCTCGTTATATCTTTACTTTTTCAAAAAGTGAGACTTGGCTATTGTCTTAATCTCCTCAGGCTGGTGAAATGAAATACCGTAAATTGAATGGCTTAAACAACAGAAATTTATTTCTCACAATTCTGGAGGCTGGGAAATCCAAAATCAAGGTGCCAGCTGATTTGGTGCTCATGAGAGTCCTCTTCCTGGTTTGTAAAAGGCCATCTACTTGCTATGTCCTCACACCGAGGAGAGAAAGATCATCACTTTTGTGTTTCTTCTTATAAGGGCACTAATCCAATTTCTAAGGGTTCTATTATCACCATCTAACTCCCTCACAAGGGCCTCACCTCCAAATATCATCACAATGGGGATTAGAGCTTCAACATATGAATTTTTAGAGAACAAAAACATTCTGTCCTTAGTATTTAGTTTTTTAATATCAATAAACAAATATCAAGGTTAAATTTGTAGTGCCTCTCTTTCTTTTGTCCCCATCCCAACTGTATTTTACCCTAGAGTGAACACTTTGCCACCTGAACTTTATTCAGCCTCTCTTTAATGGCCTTACCCCAATTTCCGCCTGGGGAGCCCACTTCATTCCCTACTCTCAGCCCATGTGTTCATGCCTCCCTAGCTCAAACATGGAGCATATAATTTAGGACTAAATCACTCAAATTGGTGCATTTCTTTAGGCAGCATGTTTGACTCAGAAATGAGTGTGACATGTTTGGGCCCCAAAATATTCCATTTTAATTCAACAAATTTAATGCAGGGAATGCTGAGACAAAGGCCCCCACCTTTTCACAGGGTGAGAAATCAGAAAGATGCTTGCCAGGAAGCTGCTGGCAGCCATCTTGGAAACACAGAGGAAATGACTGCTTGAAAGAGAAGCCAGTTCCTGATAATAGTGTTTAATCTTCTGTATTCAATCTCTCCCAAAACAAAATTTACCCTTGGATTTTTGCATTGAAGAGATCACAAAATCACTTTTTGATTTGAAGTGGCGTTCTATCATTACTCTTTTACAATCCTGTTTTAGTTAAATGAACAAAACAAAACACTTTTTCACTCCAGACAGATTATAAACAAAAGGGCGTGGGGTCAAATTTTTGTCTCTTTTCAGATAATAAGGAAGTCTGTTACCTTTGTCCCCCTCACCTCCACCATCCAATTTAAATCTATGCATCATCTTAAAGAAAGAAAAGAAGTATATAGGAAAAGTCGTTTTGTTTTGATTTTTTCTATTTGTTATTGAGATGTGATGGGAATCTTTGCTCAACATTTTACATGGAGGCCCATAATTTTAAATATTTGTTTTAGTGATTTGCTTCCTTTGAATAACCTAGGATTTTAACTTGATTTACTCACTCAACTTATTGATATCTAAAACTTCCCAGCATTACAAGTAACTGTGTACATACACATAGTAGAAAAGTTTTGTTTTGCATTTAGGCCCATTTTTGAACCTGCTCTTTGTTCCTGTTGTTATCTATTCTGCTGTCAATACTGCACTCTTTTAAATTAATGTGGATCCATAATACATGATAATATTTCATAGTCTAGGCTGTTCTCACACCCCACATTATTCCTGGTTATTTTTGCATGTTTAAAGAAATGTTGCAGCCTGGCCAACATGGTAAAACACCATCTCTACTAAAAATACAAAAATTAGTCAGGGATGGTGCTGTGTGCCTGTAGTTCCAGCTACTCTGGAGGCTGAGTCAGGAGAATAACTTGAACTCGGGAGGTGGGCGCTGCAGTGAGCTGAGATCACATCACTGCACTCCAGCCTGGACAACAGAGTGAGACTGTGTCTCAAAAAAATAAATAAATAAGAAAGAATGAAAGAAAGAGAGAAGGAAAGAAAAAAAAGAAAGAAATGTGTTTCTTGATGTTTAATCACCCGGGAAAGTTCATACATCATATGTTTATAATTTAAGATTAAAAAATATTACCAGCATCCCAGAATCACTCTTCTCTCTCACAATATCTCTTTCCACAATTTAACTACTATTAGCACCTCTACCACCACAAATTAGTTTTTCTTGTTTTTAAGTTTTATATGAATGGAATTGGACAATACATACCCTTGCATTTGTCATCTTTGACTCAGCAATATGTTTGTGAGATTCTTCATGTTGTATTTAGTTCATTTAATATTAATGTTTCACAATGTACTTATTCATACTACTACTAATAGACATTTGGGTATTTTCTAGTTTGGGGCTATGATAAATTTTGCTGCTAAAAATACATGTTTGCCTTTCTGCAGAATTGTTGGGACATAGTGCCATGCAGTTTCCCAAAGCAGTGGTATCAATTTGCACTCCAATCAGCAATTCTAGTAGCTTTACATCTCGCCAACACATTTTACTGATGTTTTCTGAAATGACACTTTTGCCTCTTGATATTGCCACTTGAACTTAGAAATCAACTTTTCAATTTCCGCAAAACTTACCTATTGGCATTTTAGTTGGAATTGTATTAATTTATAGATAAATTCAGATAAAATGTACTTCTTTTTAATATTGAAGCTTTGGATCCATGAACATCATATATCCTTATAATTATTTTAGCTTTCTTAAATTTTCATATAAGGATTTTTCACATCTTTGTTTAGATTTATTCCTAGATATTTGATGTTTCTTATTATTATTGTAAATAGTACCTTTTTCAAAGTTCCTTTTCTAATGTTCATTGCTAGATTCACATATACAATTGATTTTTAAAATTGACCTAGTATTCAGGGCCTTATTAAATTTAGTTAATAATTCTCATAGTTTATTGGTAGTTTTTGCTTTCAAATAAGGGTAGGTTTTTTCCTTTCCAGTCATCATAGATTTTGCATCTTTTTGTTTGTTTCATTACACTTGTTAGGACCTCCAGCACAGTGCAAAATACAAGTGAGATATGGGCATCTTTGTCTTTTTCCCAGTCTCAAAATGAACATTTTCAATATTTCCTATCAAATTTATAGAAATTCTGAACAGACTAAAGAAGTTCCCTTTTGTTCTTAGTCTATCAGAAATAGACCCTAAAAAGGTGTTGGTTTTCATAAAATGATTTTCCTTTACCTATTAAGATGATCATATGGTATTTGTTTTTTTGCTTTTAAAATGTTGTTAATTACATTAATTGATTTTCAAATGCTAAAGCAGTCTTGCATTCCTGCAATAAATCTTACTTGGTCATTATATAGTAACCTTTTTTATACACCACTGGATTTAATTTGCTAAGATTGTGTTTAGGATTTTTGTGTCGTATATTTTATATAGTTTTATCAGATTGTATTGTTAAAGTTACTTAGGTATCACAAAACAGGCTCCTGTTCTCTTCCTTAAATGCTTAGAAAAATTATGGGCTTGGAGTTTTTTTGTAGGAAGATTTTTAATTACAGATACAAATATTTTAATAAATATGGGTTTAGTCAAATATTCTATTTACTTTTGGATCAGTTTTAGAAAGTTACATTTTTCAAAGAATTTGTCATTCCATCTACATTTTTGTATTTATTGGCATAGAATTGTTCTTAATATCCTCAATATTTGTTTCTGTAGTTATATCTTTCCCCATGTTATTAAGAAATTGTGTTACTTTTTTTCATTCTGGATGAATCTTGTAAGGTAAGTTATTAATTTTATGAATGTTTTCAAGAAGCAACTTTGGCTTTGTCGATTTTTCTGTATGGTACCCTCTCTTCCCATTTTATTAATTTCTCTCTTTATTATTTCCTGCCTTCAGCATAGCTTTGTTTAATCTGTTTTTATTTAGTACCTTGGTCCTTCAAGTCCTGGATGTCATGGCTGCTCATATCAGACACCTGCTTTTCTGTGTATGACATAGCTTTTCTAGTTGCTTTCTGAAAGAGAGCTGTCCTGACATCTGCAG